TCTCCTGAATAATTATCTGCTCTCCTTTAATTCATTAGGAACTGGGGCAATATCTAATCCTCTCCAATTCCCATCTATAGTCCAGACTTCAGAGAGAATGCTGTGTTCAACCTGAGAATTCAAGAGGATAAGCAAGACTTGCAACATCTTTTTGATAGTGTTTAGGCCTCTCCATAACTTAGACATTATATCTAGTCCTAGCAGATTTCTTCCTCAGGGACAATGAAGAATTTTACCCGAACTGTTTAATTTTTAAATTTGACCTATGTTTCTTCAAAAATAGGAGCCATAAGTCCTTCCCATTCTATTTCTGATATTCAAAGGCTCTCTGAAGATCAGAGTAATCCGGGAAGATGATCATAAAATGAGGTTTGAGTTATTCCAATGTACACTAAAGTAAATTTTTCACCCTTGTTGGTCCTACATCTACATTTAGCAGGGGCTCTTGGTAGGACACATCAACATGAAAGATCCCCTGACCCTCAGTCCCCAGTAGCTGGTCAACAGTTGTGAGGGGTATCACCTTTTCATTCCTCTTTCATCTGGGCTTTCCTCATTTTAAAGTTTTTCCCCATGTTTATAACACTCATTCTGCCCTTTTCCTTTTGATGTCCTTTGGCCCTGGAGCCACTTCAGATGGCCTTGCTGAAGAGGCTTTCACCTTTGGGCTGCAGGATCAGCCTGTTCCTTTTATCCATTCTATGGTAGAAAGCACTGTCTTAGCCTTTTGTTTTTATTTTTCTCAGCCCTCTTTACACATATTGTTGTGCTTCTCTCAGCAATATATCTGGTTATTTATCTTTCAAATCCTCAATCTTTTGGAGTTTTTTAGAGATATCTGGTCAACGGTGTTTAACAAAGTGGGGCTTTAACATGTCTTGATGTACAGGATCCTTAAGATTTAGTCCAGAGCACGTTCTCACAGTATATTACTCTGTTATGAAAGTCAGCTGCTCCCTATTTTCCAAGTTGGATGTTAAAATCTCTAGCTATGGTTTGGGACCAGGGAACTGACTCCCTTATTCCTTTTACAATCCAGTTTCTGAGGTCTCTCATGTGCTCCCACTGGGTCCCATTATTACCCCATCAGGGTTCCTGATTAGGAAATTTAACATCTGCAGTGAGGATGTCAGGGGAAGCCAGAGGTTCTCACTCCCAAAGGCCATGTCCACTCTCTGGACCATTATTCTCGCACTAGGAAATAGAATTCCTAGTACAGACAGTAGTTAATTCAAGTGTACAATTGTGGCTCCAAACATTGTATTAATTGTTCATCCACCTTATGCAGATCCTTTAGTATGGGCATTAGTTCCCTTTTTAAACTCCATACTTTTGAACTGGATACAGCAGCAGGGAGGAATCTTACCCACACACCAGAGGAACCTCCATGATGGGGTAAAATAACTATGGTTTCTCTTCATCTAGAGAAGAAAAGGGTCAGTTTGAACACCCTTTTCTCCTTGCTCCAGCTCCTCTTTCAGTCCAGGCACAGATGGTTAATGAGACAGGCGGGGGTTGAGGTTGCTGCCAGTGGCTCAGATTGTGGAGCAGACAATGAGAACTGAGTGGTTATGTCATCTTAGGGCTCACATGTGAAAGGGGAGAGAAAGAAGCTGCAACCAGGGACTTAGGCCATGGTAGAGATAGAGGAATCCTAGCAGTTATGTCATCCTTTGGGCATGAATATGAGAGGAGGATGGATATAAGCAGCTGATGCTGTGGTGGCCTGCTCCACCTCATTCAGAGCTGAGTCCTCCCTACTTGACTTGCCTGCTCTGGTAGGGTTGGCCCCTGCTTAGAGGAAGGAGGTAAGCAGGTTGGAAGATTAGTTACTCCTTTTCTCAGTTTTTAAGGGATAGAGCCTCGCTGAGTCCCTCCTCCAACCTAGGACGTTATCAACCTCTTCCCTGGAGACAGAGCTCTTATCATTAAATTACCCATCGAAGTTGACAGAGCCAGTCTTCATTGCACTCAGAGTTGGACCTGAAGAGAGAGGGGCTGAGGACAGGTTCTTGAGTCCATTGAAAGCACATTTTATCATTTCTTGTTTATTTTTACTTTTAGTTTTCTCACTGTCATTCCAGTGATGGGCCATTTGGTCCGGGACTACCTGGGGGAAATTTATTATTAGTTTTTTTCTTGATAGCTGTTTTTAACTTGTTTATTACCCATTTTGGCTTTTTAAGTAGAAGAAGTTCCCTAGAGACTCAGCCTCCTTGAAACTGAAGAATTCTTGCTCTCTAGCCCAAATGCTTTGTCCATCTCCACCCTGCTCTCATGGGGGAACTGCAGATCAGGTTTCTGCATTTGTTTTGTGTCTGAGACATGTCTTACCCTCACACAACCTCCCCAAGGATGACCTGATCAACAAGAAATAAGTTGTCCTCATCGCTGACATTTCTTATCTTGATCTGTGCACAGAGCTGCCTGGTCAACTGAAGCAGTTGGGCCTTTCCCACATTGCTGAGAACTTTCCTACCCTGGGGGCTGCTTGCAGAATCCAGCACTGGCCACCTGCTATCTTGGAATTCACTACATAGTATATGTAGGCCTAGGATATGTCTCCTTCCAAGGGGGAGGGCGCAGGAGCCTCCCCAAGCTGATTGAGGGCTGTATGTTGGGGAGCAAGTTGCCAGACAAAAATTATCCAGTGTTGCTAATGGACCTTGATACTATCTCTGCAAGGCTTTACTTGTTCAGAAGGGTGTGTTGCTAGGCCACACAAAGCCAGCCACACACCAAGTGTCCAGTCAGCTCTGCTTTTATTTATTGATGCTGTCACCACTGTACAATGCTCTGTTAGTGGGATCATGGCCTCACATTGTAACCCAGTTGGCTAGTTCTTCAGAAGTCATACTTGCTGGGCAGAACAGATCATGTAACCCAGAAGTATCTTGTTTTCAAAGTCTTATTACAGGTGGACTGGCATGTAGCCACTTTGTCTCAAGTTGTTCTTCTAAGGAATGGTGACACAAGTATGTATGCATTTAACTAAAACACAAGTTTTCAAAAGCAGGCATTCATATAAAATGGACTATGCTCTACATTCTCCTTGAGAGAAAAGACTACATTTACTCACATTGTGAAAAGAATGATTAACTGGGCCAGGTGTGTTGGTGTACACCTATGATCCGAGCACAGTGGAGGCTGAGGAGGAATGTTTGTGTCTCAAAAAAAAATAATTTTCAGTCAATTGTTTGTGTATAGAAAACCTGATTAAGGTATTTTAATATTTGGATCCTGTCATTTTAATAAATTTGTTTTTAAATTCAAATTTTTCTGGTGTTGATTTTAGGGTCTTCTAAGGAAAGAATCATAACATCTTCACATATGAATAATTTGACTTAATTTTATATTGGACATCTTCCATTATTCCTATTCCTATTTTTATTACTTTGAATTTCCTAATTAACTTAGATAAATATTTCAGTAAAATATTCAACAGAAGTTTTGAGAAAAATCTAAATTTTTTGTTATTGATTGTGCAATAAATGTTTTTATTAATTTTTTCATTTACTTTGATTTTGTGTATTTACTGAAATTTACTGTTATTAATACTGACATTTGATTTTCTTTATGTAGTTTTTGCATGCGTTTCAAAGATTAAAACAGTTTTAATTGTGAGGAAGGCTTTCTGTGTATCAAATGACATCTTTCTGGGATTTTTGTTATTGACTCTATTTATGTGGAGAATTATATTTTATTTGTGATATATTGCACCATTCTTGCGTACCATGAGTGAATGAATGGTTATGATATACCTGTGTTCTTGAACTCTGAATTCTGATTCTAAGAATTTTATTCAATAATTTTGCATCTATATTTGGGAAAATATTGCCCTATAATTTTCTATTCTTGAATTCTATGTGCTTGTTGTTAGTATGATACTGGGTCTATAAAATAAATTAAGAAGTATTCCTTCCTTTTCTATTTTGTGCAAATCTTTAGCAACATTATTGTCCATAGTTCCTGTGCAATCTGCTAAATTTCAGCACAAGTTCCACACTAATGGGCTTCCTTGGGGGGAGAGATTTTCAAATGCTTTGATGTTATTATTTGTCATGGATTTGCATATATTTTCCGTATCTTGTAGATCCAGTTTTGGTAGATCATATGTGTCAAGACATGTATCATTTTTTTTTCGTATGTTGCTGTTTTCTTTCTTTCTTTTTTTTTGTTACCAGAGATCAAACTCGGGACCTTGAGCTTATGAGGCAGGTGCTGGAACCACTGAGCTAAATCCCCAGCCCTCCTTACAGTTTTCTTATGTTGGTGTTTAAAATGTTTCATTGTGATCTTCGGTATTTCAATGATTTCAGTTTGAACATTTACTTTTTCATCTAAATTTGAATAAATAAGGCTTGAGAATTCTTTATGTATGTCATGGTTTCACAGTCTAACTTTTCTAAGAAAATTACTTTTAAATGATTATTTTATTGCTATTTGTATCTAATTAATTTCAGCTTTTCAGGCTATTATGTATTTTCTGGGTTTTGGAATTGCATTTTCTTTGTTTTTGTTATTTCAAAGCATTGACAATATACAATTGTAGAGTTTGTTGAGATCTCTTCAATTTTTAATCCAGTCACTTATATCTATGGATTTCTGTTTACAAGTTCCTGCAAGATACCAGAGATACAGAATTTTTTTGTTTCAGATTACATTTGATTCCAGGAATATTACAATGTATTCCTTGATATTTTGAATAATTCACTGATCAATCAATACCTTATATTTCAATCTTCATAAGTTTTTCTAAGGATTTGGATTTTTCTGTTCAGTGAAATCTAATTATATTACACAGAAGTAACTGACATTTGAAGAGCAACAAATCTTCATAAGTTTTTCTAAGGATTTTGATTTTTCTGTTTGGTGAAATATAATTTTATTGCACAGAAATAACTGCCATTTGAAGAGCAACAGCTACTGAGCCATGGTGCACTTTATCATTTCCATTTTCTTAAAATACTGTTAATTCTTTGTTATTTTAAATACCACAGAAAGAAAGATTGCTCCTAACATACAAGAAAGGATAAGGACTCAGCCTATTGGAAAAACTGACACACCCACCATCAAGGTAATGGTAAGTTTATATACAGGAACACTTGTTATCTAATTGAAAGAAGTTTTATTTGGATAAATTAATAATTGAGCTCAATGGCCTGACTGCAATTTAGAGGAGATTAACCTCTCTCTGTGGTAGAGGTGCTGAGAATTTTGTACTTAGTTACAATTAACATGAGTTTAGAACCAAATACAAACTCAGGAAAAGATAAAACCATTGCAGATACACTTGCAAATGTATTCAAGATCCCAAATGAAGTGAAAAGGTGATCATACAAATAGAAAATACTTTACATAACTGATAGAAATATTGCATGCACATTCAAGGAAAAATAAAAATCCTTTTCTCTAGATTTCAATGTTTATTTGGGAATACTCATATAGAGAAAATAGCATAGAAATATACCTGGTTATATTATAAACAATAAGGAATTTTCTCTCAAAAGATAAGATTTTATCAAAAAGTCCTTTCAATTGGTATAATTGAAAAATTTTAATCACTGCTTGGCCTTGATTCCTCACTTCTTAATTCTCACTATAAATAAACATTTCATAAACATACTGTAAGAATATCCTCATAGTACTCATACATTGACAGAAAAATGAAAAATTCATTTTGGCATATTTATATAAATATCTATATGAGAAATATATTAAAATCTATTCACATATAAGAACAAAGTGGAGAGTAGTGATATGATTTTTATCTATTTGAGAAAGTGCATACTCCAAGTTCTGGTCTTATGAATCATGACCTATACACACTAGAAAACAAATGTTCTTATGTAATTTATGTGCCAAAGACATTAATCAAACTCTAAAACTTATACTACAGGAATGGAAAAATATTCAGAAAAATACCTGTGAAAATCATCTGTGTTGCAAAACCTGCAACCAGGAATCCCTGCATAGAAGAAACAAAATGACTGAATATGGAAAAGGTTCAAACAAATGCCATCAATGTGGTAAAGGCTTTAGAAGTTGTGCTGAGCTTAGAGGTCACACACAAAGTAATATAACTGAGAAGCCATATGAAGGTTGCATGTGCAGAAAAACTTTCAGTCCATTTCTTAAACATCAGCATGAGAGAACACAGACACATGAGAAACAGTATGAATACCAGCAGTGTGGGAATACTTTCACCCATTTTTCTAACTTCAGAAGGCATAATTGCACACACACAGGAGAGAAACCATATGCATGTCATCTATGTGGGAAAGCCTTCACTGATTCATCTAACCTTAAAAATCATAAGCGAACACACACAGGAGGGAAACCCTATCGATGTGATTTGTATAGGAAAGCTTTCACACAGTCAAATCACTTGAGTGGACATAAGAGAACACACACAGGAGAGAAACCATATGAATGTCATCTGTGTGGGAAAGCCTTCACTCATTTATCTAAACTTAAAAATTATAAGCGAACACACACAGGAGAGCAATCATATGAATGTCATCTGTTTGGGAAAGCTTTCTCTGATTCATCTAACCTTAAACAGCATAAGAGAATGCACACAGGAGAGAAACCATATGAATGTCATCTATGTGGGAAAGCCTTCACTTTTTCATGTAACCTTAAGAGGCATAAGAGAACCTCACAGAAGAGAAAAACCATAGGAATGTCATCTGTGTGGGAAAGCTTTCACTCAATCCAGTCACCCTTAGTAAACACGAGTGAAAACACAAAGGATAGAAACCATATAAATCTCAATGCTATTGGAAACCCTTCACTCATTTATCCAGCCTTGGGCAACATGAGAAAACACACTCTAGAGAGAAATCTTCCATATTCCCTGTGTTGGAAAGCTGTCAGTAAATTATGTCACTTAGTCTTCCTGAGAGAACTCACACAAGAGAGAAAACACATGAATATACTAAGTGTGGGAATGACTTCAGTGTTTTAGACTTAATATTCATATGGGATAGTGTGATTACCTAGAAATTTTAAATAAGGATATGTGCAAAAAATTCATTAACTTTCCCAAAACCAAATTCAATACAACTTATGTACAGAATAACAACTGTGATTTTAATTAAACTAATAAAACATTAGGAAAAAATCTGAGAGTTCTTTTGTAATACTTAATGCAATTTTAATGCATGAATTTAGGTGTATAAACCTTCTGATGAGCATAGATTTTCAGGGTCGCTTAAAAGTCTTAATTTTTAGAGAATTTCTTCCACCCAGGTGGCTTTGTCTCTCTCAATGGCTTCCTACCAATTTTAGCAGATTACATACATGCCATGGGATGATATGGGAAGGAGCTTGACTTTCCTCTCCATTTTTATCAGGTTACCAAGGCACAAGGTCCAGGGTCAATTACTTAATTACTATTATTTGAAGTGTTTTTGCTGTCCTGTGACCCTTGCCTTTTCCTACAAGTGCAGTATGAGGATAGATGGAGGGATCTCTCACTTTTTATCTCATAGGATACCTGATATTTCCGTCAAAATGTACAGAATTGAATTAAGCTTGTTCAAAGGCACATTCACAACAATTTTTATCATCTATTTTTTTTTTTGGTGCCCAGGATCAAACTGGGTGCATTGCACTTGTAAGGCTGGCAACAGCACCACTGACCTAAATCCTCAGCTCTATTTTTATCATCTAAATAGAGCCAGTTCTTTGATTACAGATACTCAATATGTCACAACATTTTCTTTATTACAAGAAGAACAATCAGTATGTAAATAACTTACAAAACTTGTTAGAGTGAATATCTGGTATAATATTTTTTAAAAATGGAAAATAAACCCTTTAATGAATCAATGTTCTGTTTTTAAAAATGTCATGTTTATTAGAGTTCTGTAACCAATGTTATAACAAATAATAATTAAATTGAAAGATTTCATTAAATGCAGTGTGCTTTCTATATTCAAAGAATCCTAGTTTTCGTCACATTTGAATATATAAATACGAAATACAATTTTAAGCCATCTGTGAATAAAAGCACAATTTAATTTTTTGAAGGGACATTAAATTATCAAATTTCATAATAGAGAAAAGCAAATATATATGGATATATATTGGCCAGGATTCTGATAGAGGCAACAAAGAAATACATAAATAATTTGAGAGAATTTTAGTTTTTATCATGAATTCAAATATTTCACTTCAAGATCAACTGGGTTCAAGGAAGAAATTTCACAATGACACTGTGTGGTGGATCAAATGTGCTCACTTATAGCAGAAGGGAACAGAAGTGGGGAATCACAGCCATGAGGATTTCTCCACTAATCACATGCAGTACACAAAGCCATGACACAATCATTGACTCGTATACACTGAGCCATATGCTCTCTGATCCCCTCAGCAAGTATCTCACAAACCAATTTCACATTTCTACTTAGCCACCATATTTTATAACTGGTCTTTCACATCCAAATCCATCTCCCTAAAACACAAAGTAAAAACAATCATATGTTCATCCATTCATCTTAAATGATAAAAAATTATGCACACTATCATAGAATCAAAACTTCTAATTGTGATGGGTCACCTTCCCCTTCCCCCTTGGGAGTTCCCTCAATTAATGTATAACAGACCAGTGCATCCTGTGTGAGTCTGGTAATATATGTTACAACAATCTTCGTGATTTTTTTTTAGAGTAGTCTCCAACTATGTTATCTTTGCTATCTTGTAAACAGAGGACTACTGCACCTGTGGGACATTTTTTAACTAAAGTTTGTGGAACTTCCCCAACCCCCACTAGCTTAGCAAAGTTCTGCTCCTGTGAATCTCTGCTTGTGCTCCCCTCTCCCTGAGCCCTCCCCAAATAGAAGAGCCCTTCAAAGGACCCTGCAAACTGCCTTTCCTTTGTCCAGAGTTTTTGGAGGCCCGAGCCCACTCTGAGTCAGCCTGGTTATAATAAAGGATTCCATTTAATTCAGAGTGTGGTGCATCTCTATAGTTCCAACTTGCCTGGCCCTGTTATATAATTATGCTCAATATAACAAGCACAATGTGTCCTCTGAGAATCAACAGAAAGTCAGTTGTAAACAACTGAAACTAAAGAACTAAGTTGTGCTCATGTACACACTCCACACAATGTATCTAAGCATTTTGTAATACCCCTACATAATAACCCAAATTTTAAAAGTATACTATATATGTAGATATAACTTGGTAATCATTAGCATTTCTTAAGTAGAGCAAAGAAAGTCTTATCAATGAGAAGTACCAATCGAGCTTATAAATCTTTAGATTTTATAGTCCTGTGTGCAGTCCCTGGATAGATCTAGGTGATGAGTACAGCAGTGTTGGCCTCTTCACTATGGCTTTCCCAGATGCAGCGTACATTGCCGGACTTGGACACAATCTCCTCTCTGTTTCCTGCTTTCCTTATGGCACACACCATGTTCCTTGCAGCTTTGACTTCCCCCATTAACTTTAAATGTATTCTCAACCACCTTTAATCAGAACATTTCCTTTCATCGCAGACCTTGTTTAGGAATATGCTGGAATCATCTATCATCTCACAACTCTTTCATTCTTTGTGTCAGTAAACCCAGCATCACATGGTAAATACAGAGCTCTGCTGCTAGTTCCACCAAGAGCCAGACACTGCCGACCTCCCCTGTGAAGTCTGTGCCTGACCTGATGAGTAAACACAGTAGAACAAATCCTATGGAATCAGGACTGTACTCAGCTGTCACAGTTCATCTCTTGTCTATATAGAGAACCAGTTTTCTCCATGTTCCATCTGAGCTGGGCCCTCACTGACATTATTCCTAAATGAATTATAATTTTGCATAGTTGAGTGTGGAACTTGTGGGACCTATAGTGTTTCTGTGATGGTTAAGATACAGGAGACGTACCCTGTTTTCAACCAAATTCAAGTTGCCTGAATGCTTTTTAATGTCTTTAATCTATTCAGTACCATATTTATTTTGGGTGAAACATTTCATTGGAGATTTTGTGCACAATATTTAAGTTTAAAAATATTTCAGCTCTATTCTTTAATCTCTATATTGTACAAAACTTGTTAAATGCAAACAGGAATACCCACACCACAGTTTGAATACTTAATTGAATCCTATTTTGGATGAGTAAGTTGATTGACTTTACATGTAGCCATCTACAAAATTTCGTACAATGGAAGCAAAAAAAATAAAATGTTGGTCAGAGCACACCATGCTTTCTCTTTAGTGTAATTTCTAAATAAGCCATGATTTGAATTGGAAACCTTATGACATTTACCTTTCTTTTCAAATTACTGCAAATATTTTGCTGTTCTCATTTTTCAACAGAATCTCCTACAAGCCTCTGCATACTGCATTCGAGTTTTCTACACTACATTTCCAAACATTTCTAAACCCTTAGACAATCAATCTCCAGAGGCTGCTCAATCACAAAGTCTAGTGCAGTCTGAGAAGTTACCTCACTTTCTGATTTTATTTACTCTGCTGCTATGCTTTCTTATTGCTCAGGAAACAAAACCAACACTCATACCTTACAGGATGAGTGATAAAACTTGGCTAATGTTGTTATAAGCCTTAGTCCAGGGTTCTCTTGCTCTGATAAGTAAGCATCATGGTAAAAGGGCATAAGGTGCCAAAACTACTCACTTCTTGCTAGGTGGGAAGGAGAACAAAGAACAGAACTGGAGAAGAATGGGCCAGAGACCCATGAAGTTACCTAATTTTGCACACCCAGCACTCTTCCAGGCACACATAGAAATGTCCTTTAGTAGATCTCCAGTAGGTTGTCAGGCATATTAAATTAATAATCCATTTCCACTGTCAGGGAGGTGCTGGGCTTGATTTCCAGAATTTAAATCAAAATGAATTTATTAGTGTTTAGAAAATGCATTGCCAAGAATAATTATATAAGTAAAATAAAAATGACTCTGTGTTAAGATATATTATGTGTCCCATTTTCTGAGGGAAATTACCAGTGAATCTTTTATAGTGTTCAAATATCCATCACAACCAGGCCTGCATACTTACGGTAACTTGTGTAGATATCTAACAAGGAGCTAATGGTTAAAAATTGTCTCTGTGATGTACATCAAAAATTTAAATTGGTTTATTTCAGAAGTGAAATCGGGTCAGAAATACTCAAATACGTAAAAGAAAATGATGCTACATTGTTCATTATATGAGAAGTAACTAAGCAAATAACTTCTAGTTATATTGAATCTTCTGCTTAAAATTACTCCCGATAGCTATAAGCAACATGTGCTGAACTCATGGCAATGAAAGTAATATTGAATATAAAAGGATTTGGAATATTATGAATGCAAATATTGTCTTTGACATTAAAAGACACATAGGTTGAAATACGATTTTGTAAAATCAGAACAGATCTATCTGGGATCAAAGCCAGCATATTCTTCACATAAGACATATTTTTCAATGATCCATGTCTGATTCAAACTGTACATATGCAGATTGGATATATTTTTGAAATAATATGCAATGTGGATGTACATATATTTGAAGAAAAATTGAGCACATGGATAACCTAAAATGTTCCTGAAATTTACATTACAGACTTGTAAGTTTGTCCACTGAATTTCAAGTCAGATTTAACCGAGGAAAAATATATGCAATTTTAAAGTATTTATCATGAAACATATTTATTAAAATAAATAAAACATATACAAATTATTACAAAAACATTTCACATATATTGTAAAGTTTTATTAAATAAATTTTAAAAAACTAAAGCAGGTTCCTTGAAGTAGAGTGCATATTTTAGGGCTAAATAACATTTGTATGATGTCATTTCAATGTTAGAAGTTCAAACTGTCCAAAGAAACATCGTTATATTATTTAAGACTGCATGTCTATTATACAGATTATTTACCCACAAATAATAGCTAGTAATTTTAGAAGTATGCTATTAAACAAAAAACTCTACAAATATATCAAAGTATTTTTCCAATACATATGTAAAATAATGATATTAAGAGTTGCATGTATCATTGAATGAGTATAAAGTTCTATGGGAAATATATGTATACACACAAGGATATTA